GGCCGGAAGCAGTAGCTCTAAGCAACACCAGGGCTAAAAGTGTGTGCCAGGCATTAGCAGATATTTTTGCCAGGGTAGGTTGGCCCTCCGACATCCTTACAGATTCGGGAACTAATTTCCTGAGGGAAGCTCATGGGGTGAATCACTTGGTTGCCACCCCTTACCACCATCAAACCAATGGCCTGGTGGAGAGGTTTAATGGAACTTTGGGGGCCATGATACGTAAATTCATAAATAAACACTCCAATGATTGGGACCTAGTGTTGCAGCAGTTGCTTTTTGCCTACAGGGCTGTACCACATCCCAGTTTAGGGTTTTCACCATTTGAACTTGTGTATGGCCACGAGGTTAAGGGGCCATTACAGTTGGTGAAGCAGCAATGGGAGGGGTTTACGCCTTCTCCAGGAACTAACATTCTAGACTTTGTAAGCAACCTACAAAGCACCCTCCGACACTCTTTAGCCCTTGCTAAAGAAAACCTAAAGGATGCTCAGGAAGAGCAAAAGGCCTGGTATGATAAACATTCCAGAGAACGGTCCTTCAAAGGAGGAGACCAAGTCATGGTCTTAAAAGTGCTCCAGGCCCATAAAATGAAAGCGTCATGGAAAGGACCATTCACGGTCCGGAAGCGCCTAGAAGCTGTTAACTATCTCATAGCATCCCCCACCTCCAACATAAAGCCTAAGGTATACCATGTTAATTCTCTTAAGCCCTTTTATTCCAGAGAATTAAAGGTTTCCCAGTTTACAGCCCAGGGAACAGATGACACGAAGTGGCCTAAAGGTGTCTACTATGAAGAAAAAAGTGATGGTGGCGTGAAAGAGGTGAACCTCTCCGCGACCATTGGACGTCTGCAGCAACAGCAGATCAAGGAGCTGTGCACTAGCTTTGCGCCAATGTTCTCAGCCACCCCAGGATGAACCGAACAGGCATACCACTCCATTGACACAGGTAATGCTCACCCAATTAGAACCCCACCCTACCGGGAGTCACCTCATGCCCAAACTGCTATAAAACGGGAGATCCAGGACATGCTACAGATGGGTATAATCCACCCCTCTAAGAGTGCATGGGCATCTCCAGTGGTTCTAGTTCCCAAAGCAGATGGGGAAATACGCTGTTGCGTGGACTACCATAAACTAAATGCTGTAACTCGTCCCAACAACTATCCAATGCCACGCACAAATGAGCTATTGGATAAATTGGGACATGCCCAATTCATCTCTACCTTAGACTTAACCAAGGGGTACTGGCAAGTACCACTAGATAAACCCGCCAAAAAAAGGTCAGCCTTCATCACCCAGGCAGGGGTGTATGAATTTAATGTGCTCCCTTTCGGGCTGCGAAATGCACCTGCCACCTTCCGAAGACTTGTAGATGGTCTCCTAGCAGGATTGGGAGAAGCTGCAGTTGCCTACCTCGATGATGTGGCCTTTTTTTCTGATTCGTGGGCAGAACACCTGGAGCACCTAAGAAAAGTCTTTGAGCGCATAAGGCAGGCAGGACTAACTGTTAAGGCAAAAAAGTGTCAAATAGGCCTAAACAAAGTGACTTACCTTGGACACCAGGTGGGTCAAGAAACTATCAACCCCCTACAGGCCAAAGTGGATGCTATCCAAAAGTGGCCGGTCCCAAAGTCAAAGAAACAGGTCCAATCCTTCTTAGGTTTGGCCGAATATTATAGGCGATTTGTACCACACTACAGCCAAATCGCCGCCCCACTGACAGACCTAACCAGAAAGAAACAGTCAAATGCAGGTCAGTGGACTGATGAGTGTCAAAAGGCCTTTAACCAGCTTAATGCGACACTCATGTCTGACCCTGTGCTAAGGGCCCCAGACTTTGATCAACCGTTCCTAGTAACCACAGATGCGTCCGAGCGTGATGTGGGAGCAGTTTTAATGCAGGAAGGACCGGATCAAAAATTCCATCCTGTCGTGTTTCTCAGCAAGAAACTGTCTGAGAGGGAAAGCCACTGGTCAATGAGCAAAAGGGAATGCTACGCCATTGTGTACGCGCTGGAAAAGGTATGCCCATACGTTTGGGGACGGCATTTCCAACTACAAACCAACCATGCTGCGCTACAGTGGCTCCATACCGCCAAGGGGAATAACAAAAAACTTCTTCGGTGAAGTTTAGCTCTCCAAAATTTTGATTTTGAAATACAACACATTTCAGGAGCTTCTAACAAAGTGGCTAATGCACTCTCCTGTGAAAGTTTCCCAAAATCAACTGGTTAAAAATTGTTCTTGGAATGTGGGACATATTGTTAGTTTTTATATAATCAGTAGTATGTCTAAAAATGCATGTGTCTAATTAACTCTGTTTTCTCCTAGAGCTCCAGGAAGAAATCACAGCCAGAGTGGAACCGGCTGTCCAACACTATCTGTGATTTGGGGGGCTTGTCATGATTGATTTTTCCTTGTTTTAAGATCCAAGGGGGTTGGATCTGGACTCACCAGGAATTGGTGGGGGGAAAGGAGGGGTAATGGTTAATTTCTCCTTGTTTTAAGATCCACGGGTTTGGATCGGTGTTCACCAGGCAATTGGTGAAGAAGTCTGTCAAGGCTACCCAGGGAAGGGAGTTAGCACTTGGGAGTGGTGGCAGCAAAACCAGATCTAAGCTGGTAATTCAGTTTAGAGGTTCTCATGCAGGTCCCCCACATCTGTACCCTAAAGTTCAGAGTGGGGAAGGAACCTTGACAGCAATGGTTGAAATTTTCTAAAAATGTTCCCTAATGTAGAGATATATGCAGTGTATTTGTGTCTGTCCCAGAATATTAGAGAGACAAGGTGGGTGAGGAAATATCTTTTATTGGACGGACTTCTGTTGGTGAGAGAGACAAGGTTTTGAGCTTACACAGAGCTGTTCTTCAGGTATGGGAAACTTACTCAGGTCTGGTCTACACTACAGACCTATACCTCAAAACAGGGGGTTAGGTCAGTATAACTATGTTGTGAAAAATGCACACCCCTGAGCAACATAGTTATACCAGCCTAATCCACCATGTAGACAGCGCTCTATCAGCGGGAGAAAGGTATCGCATCTTAGGGAGGTGGATTAACTATGTTGACAGAAGAGTGCTCTCCCGTCAGTGTAGGAGTGTCTTCGCTTAAGCCAGCGGTCCCCAAACTTTTGAGGGTCATGCCCCCCTTACCCCTGTCTGCACTCCCTCTGCTCCCCCAGAGCAGGAAGCAGGGCTGCAGCTTGAAGGTGTGGGGGGAGAAAGCAGCTGGGGGTGGGGCTGGGAGCAGGGCCGTGGCCAGGGGCCAAGGCTGGGGGCAGGAGCAGAGCCAGAGCCAGGCTGAGGTGGGACCAGAGCAAACCTGGGGGCAAGGAGGGGCTGGGTGGCACTCCCTCCCCCCGTCCCCAGGCCAGCTGTGCCCCCCGCATGTTCCTCTCCCCACTTTGGGGACCTCTCACTTAAGCGCTACAGTAATGCAGCTGCGCTGATGCATTTTAAGTGTAGACCTTCCGTTGGAGTGTCTCAGCTAAATACAAGATGTAACACATTGTTTAGCATAAGTAGGGCTCAGTGTTTGTCACAGAGGTTGCGGAAGTTACGGATTCCCTGACTTCCTGTGACCTCCGTGACTTCTGCAGCAGCCAGTGTGGCTGATCCCAGGGCCGCCCAAGCAGCTGGCACCGGGACCAGCTGCTCAGGCAGCCCTGGGGACAGCCACACCGATCGGCCGATGCGGCTGGCCCCAGGGACCTATTTCTTCATAACATTTGTAAGCTCTGTCCTGAAAAAGATTTCTTCTACAAGAGGAAGACTGGTAAAACCTTTTAATATTCGTAAAAAAAACCCTCTTATTACACTACATACTTCTGGATAAACTGAATTATTCCCATCCACCCTGATTCACATAACTTTGATGTAAACAGTTTACCAGTTTTCCAACTATTCCATGTCTGGGCTGAGAAGAGGGTTTGCTTTGAAAAGTTCTAATACTCACATATAAACACAGCAAACTATGGAAAAAGGTTAGAAAGTCAGGCTCTGGCTCCCCATCACGCTGAGAAAAACTATTACCAAATACTGTCTAGACTAGGATTTCATGGTGTGATGTTAGTGAACATATTTTAAGAGTCTCATTGAGACAAAGTAGTCTTCCTTTAACGTGCTAAATTGGACTAGCTCTCCCTAGTCCGGACAAGGCCAAAGGCTTTGTCTTGACTACGGACAGTGGATGAGTGTAAAGTAGGGTTTAGCTCACACATGTGCCAGCTAAACCTAACTTAAATTTGACTTTTTTTTTTCTTACAGTAAATACAAGGCAACATGACCCTACAGTCGTGCATTGTTGCAGCACAGTAGGGAGGTGGTGATCTGGTAAAGTGGTGCAGGCAGGAGATGCAGAGCAAGGATGCAGTGTAGAGGGCAGGGTAGAGATGTGGCACAATGCTGCAGAAAGGTAGGACAATACACAGCGGAGGTGCGCTGATGTGGTGCAGAGCAAACAGCAAGGCCGCGATGTGGTGCAGAGGATGGGGCAGTGCAGGGTGGGAACATGGTGCAGCAGGGCAAACTACAGCGTGGTGTTGGGCAGAAGGCGGGACAGGGATGTGGGGCACAGAGCGGGGCGATGTGCTGCACAGCTGGGCAGGGATGTGGTGCTACGCAGAGGACTGGTGATGCAGGGCAGAGGGGCAGCGTGGTGCAGAAGGCTGGCGCGGCGGTGCAGTGCAGAGGGGCAGAGCTGTAATGAGGGGCTGAGGAAGGACCGGGGGAGTGATGCAGGGCGGGGCGGTGATGCGGTGGGGGGCGGAGGCCGGGGACAGACGAGGGGTGATGCGCGGCAGAGAGCGGCGGCGCAGGGCCGAGCTGGGAAACGCACCGGCGCCCCGAGCTCCGGCTCCCCGCTCGGGGCGGTTCCAGGGCAGGGAGAGGCCAGGGCGCAGCGTGGGGCCGGTGCCCGGGTGGGGTCCCCAGGGCGGGGCGGGGGACGCGCGGGCCCCGCCCAGGAGGGTCAGGGGAGGGGCCCCGGCCCATTACCTGGGTGAGGGTCCCGCGGTGCAGGGCCCGGATCACGCCGCGCGGCGCCGCCATGGCTGGGGGGAGGGGAATAGCGAGCCGGGGAGCCTGCGCCTGCGCGCCTGGCTGACTGCTAGCGCCTGCGCGCCTGGCACCCGCTTCAAGGGGCGGGGCCCGAATATAATCTACCGCCCTGCCCAGGGGCGGGGCCGGCAGCTTCGTCAGAGTCTCCCCCCCCACCTCCCAGTGATGCTGCCGCCAGCGCGTGTTGCCTACTCTCCCATTGCGTCATCCCAACGTCCCCCAGCCAGGCCCTTCACGCCCCTGCCCGCGGCCCCTGCCAGGGCCTCCCCCCGCAGCGCCCGAGCTCACCAGGGCATCTGCCCACCCCGTCGCGTGCTTAGCTCCCCCCGTCCCGTCCCACACAGACTCCTGAACGGAGCCATGTCCCTGCACAGAGATGCCGGCTCTCCTCGCGGCTCCAGCCCCAGTCCAAGGGTCAGACCGGCCTGCACAGAGCACCGCCAGAAGCCTGTCACTTCTCCCCCAGCCCCACTGAGAAGGCCACCACCTCTCCCTAACCATCCAGCACGATCTTGCACCCCAGTCCCCTCGCCATGCTCAGGATAACAGAACCAAGAGCAATAAACATCACTGGGGTTATAAATAATAGGTGACTTGTTCCCTGATAGCTTTGTGATCAGATAGCTCAAGATTCATAGATTCTAGGACTGGCAGGGACCTCGAGAGGTCATCAAGACCAGTCCCCTGCCCTCATGGCAGGACCAAATACTGTCTAGACCATCC